GGCCCCGAGGCCCCCTTCGAGCCCCGCCTACGGGACCTCGACGCGCGCGACGGGCTGGGCGAGGAGCGCCCGCGGCGCATACCACCACACACTGCTGGCTCAACAGCCGGCTGGGCGCTCAAGGGGCCTCCGCACAAGTGGCGCTACTGCATCCTGCGCCCGCACGAGGGGAGCGGCCCACGCGAGTCGGTGATCCCGCGCGCACACGCGTCGTCCGCGGAGGTCATCATGCGCTCGCTCCAGGAGGAGCTCTTCCCGTCCCCCGCCTTCCGTGCGTGGCTGAGCATCGTCTCGCGGCTGATGCCGATGCGGTATGCAGTCGAGGCGAGGCGGTTCCGCCCGGGTTTGGACTATACGCTTGCGACGAGTGAGGAGAGGGAGGCGCGGTTGGATGTGGTCCTAGGGCTGACGCCTCCCGTGAGGGAGAGCGAGTCGGAGGACGAGGGCGATCGGTTCAAACGCGTAAGGGAGAGGGAGGTGAGGGGCTGGGCGGTAGCTGAGTGGGGTGGCTGGGAGGTGAGTCGTAGTTTACCTTTTGTGGTAAAATGGAGCGCGTATACTTACTGGTTTGGATGGGGTAGTGTTATATGGCACCGCACAACGAGGAAGACGACCCGGCGATCTACCGCTCGAGCACGCACAAAAAAGCCAAAGGCGCGCCACCTTCAAATAGCGCCAATGGGCACACCAATGGGAACGGCGCCGAGGCGTCGTCCTCGTCCAAAGCATCTACATCCAAAATCAACGGTCACGGCCAAGGGGACTCACACACTCATCGCGACCACGACCACGAAAACGACGCCTCCGCCTCCGACCAACCCACCCACTCCGATCTACCCGCAGACATCACCACCTCCTCCGCAGACATCGACGCTGACGACCTCGAGCCCCCCGAGTCCGTAGACGACCCAATGGAAGCCGACATCGACGACGAAGAGGAAGACAGTACCCTGCTCACGGTGCAGCCGGGGTACAACCGCCTGCTGCTCGTCCTGCGCGACGAGCGCGTGATGCGGTTCGTCAAGTACGTTTCTGGCGCGGCGGAGGGCTCGCGCTGGGATGTGTGTGGTGAGTATGAGGTGGGGATCGTGCAGGATTTGGGGGAGGAGGAGGATCTATAGGATTAGGGGAGAGAGGGGGGTGGGGATATGCGCACCTGGGGATGGGGGGACGGGGCGAGGAGGGAGGAGCACCTTGGTCAGACCCCTCGCAAAGCTGATTGTTAGTCCTTTTGTACTCTTTTTCTTCCATGAGCGAATTTATATGCTGATTAAATGCCACTGCCTCTCCAATCCGTACGCACTCTGCGCAGGCCGTAGTAGACCCGTCTAGGGCCGCCCGGCATCATGTGTCCCGCCGACCGTTCGGGATTCAATTTCAGAGCGCCGTCAACTTTGCATGCGTTCAGTACAATTGGCTGGCGCAGTTACGGACTTGCGCCTTTGCCTGAGAATGGGTATGTGGGAGGTGGGAGGGGTGGTAGTAGTGAGAAGAAGAGGTCTGTGTCTGTGTCTGCGGTGGCTTTCTGTTTTCGGGTTTTCGGGAAGGAGAAGGTGGTAGAAGCGGGTTAGAGGTGGTTAGATGTGTCCCTTCGCTCGTCTTTGTTTTTTTCTCTCTCATCCCTTATTTACTGCTACACTCCAGTGCTACGCGTTACAACTTACTGAACCTCCCGCTCCTTACTTACTTGTGTCTTTTTATGTTTCTCTCTCTCTCTCTTCTCTACTCAGTCTTTCTTCATCATTTGTTTTTCTACGCATACATCCATTTCTCCATCTCTTCTCTACGAACTTAAGCTTAATGCTTCCTGTTTATGACATCAACGACGTTCCCTACTCTCTCTCTCTTTTTTTTCTTTTTTTTCTCCTCACCCCTCCTCTCTCGTTTCTTATTTCCTCGTGCTCTCGTTGATGGCCAAGTGGTGGTCCCATATCCACTTCGTAGATTCTCAAATAGCATGCTGTATCACCTCTGCTCGCAAAGGGGATCTCTGTCGACTTTCGAGATGAACATCCCGTCTCCGTCGGATTACGAATTATCTGATAAGATAAGTGCGTATCGCTAATTTCTTGATGCCCTGTCCGATTAACTTCGAGTGCGCCACACTCCACGGCCAATTTACGCCGCTGTGGCATAGCATCAATTAAATCCGGCTAAGCGCTCGTGTGCGCGTGTTCCGAGAGGCGTAAAACACTGAATCTAGAGGTTTTTGAGAGGGCGATTATATTTTGTTACGATGAAACACTCGAGCATGGAGGGGAGCTAGATGGAAACGATGGTCCATGGTGCTCGTCCTCGAAGGATGCGTTCTGTGGAGTCCGTACCTCAAGGCCCAAAGGGAAGCGTCTTCTGCGCGACAGTCCACGATAAATCGTTATGTATTCGGATTCAGTACTCATTTCCCTGGGCTTGTCAATTAAGGCTCTCTGCTTTACATATTTCCCACTTGAAGAAACAACCTCCTATTTGGACGGGCAACTTACAAGTAAAAATCGAGTTCACCTCCACACTTACGCGTTGTTAGTTTTATCTTTTGGCGAGTATTCAGCTCACGCATAGTACGTTGCTGAATGCCGCAAGAGGTGACTGCGCACCGGGCCCCGGAGCGTGTCATTACGATTCCCATTCCTTGATGTCGAACGACAAGAACCTCCAAGGAAGCCACAGTCGTACTAGCACCGGAAGGCGGCTAGGTCTGGGCACTGTCTTTGATCAGGCTGGCGTCGAGCAAAAGAGGTCGAGCACCGAAAACAAAAGTAAAACCAAAACCAAAACCAAAGCCCTCTCAACCTAGCCCTCTCTTTCCAGCCCTCCCTGGCCTCCCCTCTCAGTATCAACGACCAAACTTCCCCGGAGGCAACTTAACCCCCATCCTCTCTTCCCACAACCCCGGATCAAACTTTCCCCGCTCCGCATCCTCCGCTCCCGCACGAACAAACGTCTTCCCCCTCACCGTCCTTCCATCATCCAAAAAACAAATAGCACACTCCGCCGTGCGGTAATTCCTCGTCTCGTACCTTGCAAGCCGAGTCTCCTGCTGCTGGTCGTGTACTAAGAACGCGCTCCCTGTAACAACTTCCTCCGATCGCCCTTGCGCGTTGTCCGAGTCGTTGTCGTTCCCCGAGTCACGGTCGTATAGGGCCTTGTACGACCCCCACGAACCCATCACGAACTCGGACACCGTGGCTGCGCGGTATACGGGCGGCTGGGGCGTTTGTAGGATGGTTTTGGCGAGCTGGGGGTCTTGCAGGGTTGCGTAGACGAAGTAGTAGACTGGGTATGGGAGGTGGGAGCCTGATCCGCGACGTTGGTGGGTGTGGGGTGGCTGCGCAGGAGGTTGGATAGGCGTCCTGGCCGGAGTGCCCCGGTGTCTTGGGTTCTGCTGGCTAGGAGTATGAGGAAGCGGTGGCGGCGGAGGAGGAGCGGGAGGGGGAGGGGGAGGGGGAGGAGTTGGCATCAGTATGATAATGGATGGGTGTAAGAGTTGGAAGGGAGATATCCAGAGCCGCAATGATCACTGATAAACGTTAAACGCCCATCATCGCCTGCAGCTGATTGGAGCTCTGTTGAGATGCCGCCCCTTGCAATTGTTTCTCTCTGCTACAGCCCACATTTGGGCCACACGGACCGAAGTAATAAAGGCTTCAATTCGTCTGCGACAGCTGCCGGAGTTTCTATTTCGAGGGTAGCTGGTTGCAAGTCGGACGAGTTCGAGTTTATCCAGCAGAGTGGGGTGGTGCGGTGTTGAAAAAAAGGAATGTCAAGACGAGACAAGCTAGAATGAATATGTAAACATTGGAATAAAATGCGAAGTCGAACGAGTGTGCTTGAAATATTTTATTCGAGTCCTCGACCATACTGTCCTACGGTACCTTGCCACAAGTCGCGAAAAGTGCACGGCCTACCGCAGCTCTCTTCTTCTCGTCCTCTCGGTATGTATCATGTATCCTCGGATTTGCGGACTAGCTGCGGACGTCGCCCATGCAAGAAATAGAACGTGTACTGCGCAGCTGCGACCACGGGCGCTGTCGGTGCACAAGGTGTCCGACAGACGGGAGAAAAAAAAACAGGACTCGAGCTTAGGCCCGTTCTTGGCAGGAATCCCGTTAGTTTCGTCGGCTTGTTGTAACAACAAAAGTTGATCCGTTGAATATCCAACTAGTCGGTACTATTTTCTGCCTCGAGAGAACGGCGAATTTTGAAAGTAAAGGAGCGCCGTGGATGAGAAAAACAGCACTGACAGCCACCTTCTTGATGCTAGAATATCGCAACCTGAGCCGGCGCCGCGTAGTGGGATCGAACGGAGGAGGAGAGTTAATTTTAGGATTACAAGTTTGATACTGATAGCGGAGAGGTGTCATTCTGCTGATCCAATGGCTTGACAGAGGTCCACATAACAAGGCCCAGAGTTGAAGAGCGTCCTGATCATGACTCGTCCGGCAGCTAGAAGAAAAGCAGCCGGCGAACCACGAACTCCGGCATGAGTCATTTCAAGCTCAGGCGGCAAGATATTTCTGCTGGTTAGCCTAGGAGAAAAATACAATGGGACCAATGTTGGGCGGTAGCGCCAGAAATAAGTAGAGCTCCAGAACGAGTCGAGATGAGCAATGAGACGATGGTTGGACAAGAAGTGATGGCGGTTTGCTGACGTTGATGTGATATTCGCTGGCTGGGCCGAGAGCGTGGGAACTGGGTGATGTGCGGGGACGGATGTGGTGCGATGTTGTTTGACAAAGCACTGTGACCATCCTCTCTCCTTTCCACTTTTCTCCTTCCTTTTCCATTCATTCCAAACCGCCCACCGTCTTTTGTCGCAGGAGATTTATAAGCCGGCGCGGAATGGCACGATTCGGCGCTGCTCGGTAAGCCCTCTGTCAGAGGTCCCTATTCCGTCTGTCTTACCCTGTCGTCTCTTGTCCTCCGACCACCACCCCCCCCGACACACGAACTCTAACGACATGGCACGGCACCGCAAAAGAACCGCCTCCATCCTCATCACCCTCTTCGGCGCAGTGTCCAACGCTATCCTCACAATCCAGGTCCTCGCGGCGTGGCGGTCAATCAGGTGGGAGACGGAGAGCGAGTGGGAGTCGAGGGGCGATAAGTGGCAGCTCGATGGCGTAAAGGTCATTTGGGGCCTTCTCTTCATATACTTCGCCTCTGCCGCATCTGTCTGTGCGGTCGGCCTCCATGGCGTCCTCAAGGTCCGTCCACCTGCCTGCCCACGCACGACCCGTAACCAACCTTCGTTTTACAGAGCAAACCCTCCCATGTCCGCTTCTACCGCGACTACTCCATCGCGGACTTTTCCCTGTGCACGCTGTGCTCGATATTGATGACCTACGCCGCCTTCCTCAAGCCTGCCCGCGCGGGTGTCTGCGAGGAGTTTTCGCATCACCCGGAGCTCATGCGGGACATGCTCGAGATGGGGCTTAACATCGAGAACTGCGAGCTCTGGCTCGAGCGAGCCGTATTCGGCCTTATTGCATTCCTATTCGTGATGATGGTCGTCCGTGTAGGTCCCATCTTGGCTTCCTTACCTCATCCTCATTGCATTCATGCTTATTTATGATCGTTATCTTTACCCAGCTCCATTTCCTGCTCGCCGTGTCGAATTATTATTCGCATCTCGCAAGGCATTCGTACCACCACCACCAGCGCACTTCCTCATGTTCGACGATTCCCGCGTGCTCCTCAAACTCAGCAGGAGTAGCGTCGGGGTCCACACACTCCCTCCTCCATTCCCATTCCTCCTCTCAATCCCACCCGCTACAGCGCATCTACCTCCTCCCTAACACCCAGCACCACACCCTCGCCGGATCCACCGGGTCCAACGACCCGGAGAACGGCGCCCTCGAGATGGTGTACGCCCCCGTGCCAAGAAGCTCCCTGCCGAAAGACCTGCAGGAGCAAGCGACTGAGGCCTGGGTCTCGACGTCCAACGCCCGTCTCGCGGATACAGAGGTGCGGCACCACAATCACCACCACCACCGAAGACATCGCAACGGCCATGGCCATTACTCTCGCCACCGAAGCTCCTCAAGAGAGACGACGGGCCGCATCAAGCTCGATATTGCGGAGGGCGAGGGCTTGCTGCCTGTGTATGAGCCGATCGGCGCCGAGGGCAAGGTGTGATTGATGTGGACATTTCTCTTTTCTTTTTCTTTTCTTCTCTACACGTATCATATCCCTTCTTCATTTTTTTTCTTCTCGTCGACCCCTTGTGCTATTATTACTGTGTCATCTGTGTCATCCATCCAATCCACCCGCCCATCCCTACTATGTTCCCTCTTTCCCAATCCGATCAGTATGTCAACCCTCCGCCCTCCCGTGAACACCGATTATTTGTCGCCCTTCCATTGCCAACACGCGTCCGGCAGACAGAATATCACCGCCCTTTTCTACATTGCGTTCTGTTGGTGCTTTCCTTTTGCTTTGTCGGTGCTTTCCCTCTACATGCTCGCCTTCCTCGTCGGTTCGGCGGCATGCTTACGTGATGTTTGGATCGTCATGGGCGCTTGCATTGCCGCGTTCCCGTTTAGGACACCTCGAATGATCTGGCCCGCTGCAGACCGTGAACTCAAGCTCAAGCTTCACCAATTGCACTCGATTTTCCAGCGTTCGCCAGCCTCGCAGTGTGCACGATGCAGGCAGCCGCTCACGCAGTGTTTGTGTTTGGGATCCCCTGCCAAGGCTCCGTACCCCGGCGGCGTTTACGTGGCCCACTTTCCATGTCCGTCGTCGTTTGCGCTGATACGGCCTGGCATGCGTCATTGAAATACCGTCTGCCGTCCACCGTCCACTCCATTGTCCACTTTCATCGCCCACTTTCAAGGCCAACATGCGCCCACCCCACCGCCGTCTCCGTCTAACCCGCAAGACCACCGCTCACTACCCAACATCTAATCGTAACCCACTGACACACGGCTAGGGCTCAGACCAAACGCACCGAAAACAGGTTAGAACGCCGGAAACACACCTCCGGAATTTTCGCTGCAGTTTGGTGGGTCGCATCTGTCCCTCCGGGATCTGTCAGTATAGACTCTGCAAGTATTTAAGGAATCTATTTATTGTCGCAACCACCATGTACCCTGGGTACCCGATACTACAGTCTAACCCTCCTCCATCCCCGTCGTACTCCGTTCTGTCCTAATCCAATTGCGGACTTGTTTCCCTATCGGAGCCCCTCCAATTCCCACTTTGCCATCTTTGGATCCACACCCAACTCCGTTGTTACTATTCCCTGTAATATTTTTGCTAGTCAGGCTTTCGTCTTCGACGCCATAGGCTCGGACTCGTGGGTTGGGCTCTTTCAAGTTTCGCTTGCGGCCTGGAGGGTGGTGGTGGTGGTGGTGGTGGTGGTGTAGTATACCCGTCGCTGCTCCCTCGCGGGGAAGGGTTTCTTCTCTTCCTTAGGCTCTCTCTGTTTTGTAGCCTCTAGTCGGTAGAGCGTAAGACATTCATAGGTTGTCGATGTGCTTGATACTTGTGAGTACTGGCCTGAGTCAAATATCTGGAGAGAGCGTCCTAACTAAGCATCTTCATGACAGGTGTTAAGGAGATCAGCATCTCGTCGCGCAGAGTTGACGGTCCCTCTTGTGTCTGAATGAGCATTTGAGACAGCAAGAGAGCCGAGACCAAGGTGGAGGTATGCGCCACAGAGTACATACCCAAATTGGAACTTCACTGGTTTTGATATTTCTTCGAATTTCCACTATTTTCCCAACACATTGGAGGCTTCTTTGTTGTCCTTGCAATATTTTATGGGCTGCAGTAAAGACACACCACTCCTTGAGGAGCTTGATATTCAAAAGGAAAATTAGCTTTTGTGAGCTCCTTAGTCATCTCCGAGATTCAGAGCTGGACGTGCTACCTCTGGGCTCCTCGTTGTGGTTTCCGTAGACACGTTCTCAGACATGTTCCGAAATGATCTGATGTCCGACATAAAAATTAGGTAGCTCGAAAATTCAAGCTGACGGATCCTTTTACTGGTCGTCTTAGGTGGCAATTATTCCCCCTTGTCCTGATAAGCGCCCCGAAGACGAAGCTCAAATGGAGGTTATTTTGATGTTCTGACTATGCTTTTCCTTAATTGAAGCTTTCTATCTAATTATCACGACCTAGACGCGTAATTACCACGACGCGTCAGCCTTTGTACAGTCATCACCGCTTGTACTGACCACGGCCGTTCTAGCACATTCTTGCATCTATTGCGCTTCCGAGGTTTATGAGTCGTATAAACTCGCCTCTGTTCAGGGTATAAAGCTTCCATTCATTCCTACACCTCTTTGTTCACTGCTTCACAGCCGAAGCCTCTCCAGCCAATCGCAATCCGCGAACGACTTTACCGCTTTACCGCATTTCTATAATTGTCCCAGGGGTCTTCGGACTTTGTTCTCGACCATCTCTTTCCTGTACTTGTACTTCTCCCTCCTCCTGGACTGACCCCACCACCCCTACCGCCTGCGATGGAGCTTACCTTCGTGACCGATCTCGGGCAGACCTTCACCGTCGAGATCGATCCGAACATGGAGCTCGAGAACGTTATGGCGCTGCTCGAGGCTGAGGTGAGCACAGTGCTTTCACATCGGAAACTCGCGACGATGGGGCTTAGTTGACGATTATTTTCTTCTATGGGCTATAGTCTTCGATACCGATTGGCGAGCAGAGCATCCACTACGAAGGGAGAGAGCTGACGAACCAAAAGGCGACGATGACGGAGCTTGGTGTGCACGGCGCGAACGCGATGCTGTTGCTGAGACGGAAGGTGGCAAACGTTGATGGCAGGTGTGTTCTTTCGTCCTTTTTTATGCTTTATGCTCTGTTCTGAAAGGTGTATGGTGTGAAAGACCGATCGAGCAGGACGCAGAGATGATGCGTCTGCAACTGCTTGGGGACCCACAACTCATGGCGCAACTGCAAGAGGTGCGTCTCATCGCTCCTTCCCTCTCCCAAACGTCGGCCCAACTCTTTCTCTTAGACACAACCAGAGCTCGCACAAGCCGTACAATCGAATCCGACCCGTTTCGCAGAGCTCCTTCGACAAACACGCGAAAGGCAATACGAAGCGGAGCTTGCACAACAGCAGGAGATCGAGCGCCTGCACGCCGATCCGTTCGATGTCGAGGCGCAGCGGAAGATCGAGGAGACGATTAGGCAGCAGGCGGTGATAGAGAACATGGAGCATGCGTTGGAGTACGCGCCAGAGTCGTTCGGGAGGGTAACGATGCTATAGTGAGTCTGCTCCTTTCCTCTGTTTGTGAAAGGAAGATGCTGAATTTTCGGCACAGTATTAATGTGGAGGTCAACTCGCATCCGATAAAGGCCTTTGTAGATAGTGGTGCTCAGCAAACGATCATGAGTCCGGAAACAGCTGAAGCTTGTGGGTATGTATTCGCGACACTGGATTTTAAAATGGCCTCTTCTCATCCTTTCGTTTAGCATCATGCGTCTGTTAGACACGCGATTCGCTGGTATTGCTCGTGGAGTTGGCACAGCGAAGATTCTTGGTCGAGTCCACAGTGCACAAATAAAAGTCGCGGACCTGTTCCTGCCATGCTCGTTCACGATCATGGAGGTAAGCTTGTCGTCTGTCTACCCGCTGTGCACTGAAGAAAAGAATCTGTTAAGGGCCGCGATGTTGATCTCCTTCTTGGCCTGGACATGCTGAAAGCCCACCAAGCATGCATTGACCTCGAAAAAAATGTTCTCCGGATCCAAGGCAGAGAAGTCCGGTTCCTCTCCGAACACGAACTACCAGACAAAGCACGCGACCCCCAAGAGGTTACAGGCGAAGTTCCTTCGAACGTCTCGGCCGCTGGGCCCTCAACTTCTTCTGGACCAAGCAATCCTGGAGCAGCAGCACCCAGCTTCCCTGGAGGTGGACGAACACTTGGGTCGGCACCTGCGGGTGGTGTGCGGCCTGGCCCGTCGTCAAGACCTCAACGCACGTCGGGCAATCACTCTGAAGAGAGTATTCGGGTACTCATGGACCTTGGAGCTTCGAGGGAATTGGCGATTAGCACACTGGACGCTGCTGGCGGGAATGTAGATGTTGCTGCCTCGCTCCTGTTCTGACAGTGCTAGGCGAAGGGTATGCGAAGCATGAATGGGAAGAAAAAACGAACGCCTGGGTGTACAGTGGTGTAAATATAGTGTACATAGTACAATTTTCAATTGGGAAAGCAAGGTTGATTCATAGACGGACAGGTTCCTCTGTTCCTTCCAATTTCTGGGCCGGAACTATTCTTTATCGGGAATTATCCATACCAAAAAGCATTTGCCCCGAAGTTGCTCGACTTGCAAATTTTCACCAACGCGATGTCCCTTTCTCATGAACATCGATGCAGCAACCGTGCTGCATTCTCAAGTCGCTCATCGCACGACTCTGAGAGTAACGGAGCGATGTCAGAAGGATATTTTTCTTGACTCTAGAGGGTGGGCAACCATTCTTAATCTCTTGACTCTTCTGTCAAGGGAGGGAATCGAGAATGAACACCTGTTTTGAAGGAGGGGGTCGTTAGGTGAGTACGCTCAGCACTCCTCATAGCTTCTCGTACTAATAGTATACAAGTAAGAGCTGTATGTAGGTGTCCTGTGAGCAAGTACAGAAAATACAGAATTCTGTTCTACGATGAAGTCCCAGGGTCTGCTCGTTTGTGTCTATAGTCAGAAATCTTGTCCATGTGCAAGTCCTTGTCGTTTGGATAGCGTCAATTTGCAATGTCCAGAAGCGAGAGAAGAAATACCCGCCGTGCGTTGTCAGGTCCATTCATTATTCAGATCCTTACTGAACACCCTCCTCTCTACCATCAGTCTATTCACACCAGGACACTTCACCCTAAGCTCTCTCTGCAATGCCTTGATGGTTCTGTCTGACATCTCCAGGACCTGCTCAGGCAGCGTTGTCAAGGTGCACGTAAATCTGACCTCACGAAGATCGGGAAAGAGGAGTTTGAGCCACTGGCAAAACATAGTAGGGTTCTCCTGTGCGTAGCTTGCGTCGAGGTGGTAGAAGATCGCTTCTGATATCTTCTCAAAAGCAGATCCGGCCAGCAACTCGTCGACATCTTCTGTGGACATTATCCTCGACTCCAAATACGCCTCGACCCCGGTGTATTTCAGTGGGAAGTCGGCTTGCATGTCGAGGGCGAAGGAGAGTGGATGAAGGCGGGGTGGATTCTCTACTTGCTGCAGCAAATGTCGCCAACTTTCGATCGATGTCCGGTATGCTTCTGGGTCGACCAAGAGGGACGACGGATAAACAAGGAGATGTCGAAGTTGTGGGAGTGGATGGGGGTTGCTCGTACGACCTTGTCCTCTCAGCAGGTGAAGGACGAGCTCGTCCGGCGCCTCGAGGACCTGCAAGTGCCTTAGAGGTGGAACTGGATACGCGTCCTTTGCAAAGAAACCGTCCAGGAGGCCCGTTGGCTCGTATTTGATCCGGACTTGGAAGGTGCGGTCGATGATCAGCTTGACGAGGTGCTCCAGGCGATTAATGAATTTCAATAGTGCCTCCGTCGACAGGCTCCAGCACGACTGAAGCACCGTGAAATCGGTGATGCTCTTGTTCCAGAGAACGTCCGCAAAGAGGCTGAGGATGACCTCCCCGCGATCGTAGGAGTTGAACGTGAGATGGGCGAAGCTCAGTGAGGTGAGTTGCGGGCTGTGCTCCAGGAGCTGTAGGGTCCACTGAAGGAAGGATGTGTTGATGAGCGTCATTGAGTGAACGCACAAAGTCGTGAGGTTGCGACCACTCGCCGCCTTTGGTGACAGCCTGGGGAACCGTGGTTCATTGACCGGTATCGTGTTCTCCCACCCTGGTCTAGTCAGGGCCCTCTCTACAGCACTCTTCCGCACGACCATCTCCTTTAATTTGGAGAAGAGCGTGCTCTTCTCGCGGGAACCATATACCGCGGGCAGTGCAGCGTTTGGGCCGTCATACTGGATTGTGATGTCCGTGCTCCGCTTCTCGACGATGAGATTCAAGAGTTCACTGAAGGCATTGGCCCAATTATGCCATTGGTGAATCGGGCTGGGCTCCATTTCCTTGTCCCGTTTGAGGAAATGTCGCTCAGAGAGAAGATACACCTTGACGGTTCCAAGGCTCCCAAGCCGCTGAACAAATCTTGAAAGGCGCTCAACTCCGACGTAGAGCATGTCGGGCCGCTGGAGGATGTTGTAGCCTGAATTAGGGTATTGGAAATAGCATGTGAGATGGTCGACGCGTTTTCCCGTCAGGAAGGTCGCGATATTGAGACCTGCAAGAGCGTCTCGTGGGTGTTTGCTCTTGGGGAAATGGGGATTCCACACGACGCGGTCTAAGGTGATTGACTTCTCTGGATTGGGGATGCCCTTTCGGGAGAGAAATATGGACAAGGCGCATGTGTGAAGTCGACGAGAGACAAGGGAAACGTGGTAGAGGTCGTCTAAAGAAAGGATTGGATCCTCGAGGATTCCGAGCAGTAGTTCAGCTGGAAGATTGACGAGATAAGTTTCTTCAAGCTTCAAATTAGGTGACATTTGACTGATAATGGCCCTTTCGTCGCATATGACAAGGTCCCCGTTCAAACAATTTTAGATCCAGCAACTTTAAGTTCTAGTAGAACGATTTGAGAGCTTGGACTCTGGCAGAGAAGGACTGAGATCTGCAGAACTCACTAGTTTGAGTGTTCCGGTTCGCTTCAAAAGCTTTTCATGCGTGTCCAGGGTAATTCAAGAGGGCGAATGACTGTGGTTGAAGCTAGGCTTGGTAGCTGACCGCTGGGGGATCTATAACTGGGATCCGAGTTTGTCATGAGTGGTCGAAGTCCCCTGCGGCCATGATGATGGTGGACTGGACCGGGCCGCTCACCCCCGGGAGCCCAAGACTTCCCAAATCAGGCTTTTCCCTCGACCACAACGTCCCCGTCTCTCAAGTTCGACAAGCTCAAGCTCAAGAGTTCGCATTCGCCGATTTGCTGCAATGAGCATGAAAGAGCAGACCTCGAATGTCATTTTCATGTTCTTCAACTTCTAGGAACGGCGGCCGAGAATTCAGGAACGCCATTCCGACCACGATGGAGTTGCTCACCGAGGACAAAACTTTGCAACCGTTGCCTCCTTCTCGAACAGCCTGTCGTCCTACGCTGCCGGGATCTTGCTCTTCATCGTACTCCAGCCTCTTATCATCAGCATCTATGGTCTCGAGAAGAGTGAACTGGTCGGTAACCTGCTGTGCCGTATAATAACGGCTGATCGCTCGGTGCGTCCCTCGATACTTTTCGGGGTGTGTTCTTGAGCACTCGGGTGCTAACGCTTCTCCGCTCCATCAGCCTCTACTTCTGATGTGGTGTCTTCGATTGCGTCGATGCTAGATCTGAATTGTATCGAAGAGTGGTTCATTGATGTTGCCCTTCGCTGCATAAGCTCTGTGTCGACCAGGAATGACTTGTTCAGCTGGGCAGCAGTGCGCGATAATCCCGTCTTCTTGACGATTCCGCGACGATCACCCGTCCCACCCCTGAAAATGGCAAGTTCGCGACTGAGCCTATGCGGATACCGGGCCATCGTACAGATCCTCAAAGCCGAACGGAAGGCGTCCTAGCGTATAAAATCCCGCAGCTGGCTGCTCTGGCTCTTCAGCTGGTCTCATCCCACCAAACCGAATCCTATCCACTCAATCGACGCTGCGTTGAACGCAAGCCGACCAATCAAGCAACCTATCCACTTCCTCTACTGCTCAACTCCTTCCGTTTTACGACCCCCTAAACGAAATCGTCATGGTCCAACTCACCACTTCTGTTGTTGTCGCCGCCATCCTTGCGGGCCCTGCTCTCGCTGCGCCTATGGTTGGGTAAGTCAATTGTTATCTGTTCAGCCTTTCCCTTGTCCAACCACATTTTCAAGTCACATACATCAACACACCCCCGGCGCCAACCACCTCCACCGCCGCGAGCTCAGGATCCACAAAGGGACCGTTTCCCACCGGGTCAGGGCGCCAATGTCTGCAGCGTCCCGGCGCCGCGTGTCGTGACCTTCGAGGCGCTCGAGGACCTGATCGCACGCGAACCCATCCTGAAGAAGGTCCTCGGCGTCGCGAAGAAAATTGGCGGTACTGCCGTCAAGGTTGCTGGCGCCGCCCTGTCCGCTCGTGAATTCGAGGAGCTGGAGGAGCTCGCCGCTCGTGACCCCCTCGTTCGCAATCTCGTCAAAAAAGTCGCCACCGCCGCGAAGAGGGTCGGCAAGAATCTGAACCCAATGCCTCCTCTCGGGCGCGATCTCGAGCACGTTGAGGACCTGGAAATGCGCGCCATCCCTCGCAAGGGTCGCGGCAGATCTTCCTCCAGGACGGCATCGTCATCTACCAAGCCCGTCGGCCCCTCCGCCGATATCATGGCCCGGGAGCCTGAAGACCTGGAAGAGCTCGCTGCTCGTGACCCGCTCGTTCGCAATCTCGTCAAAAAAGTCGCCACCGCCGCGAAGAAGGTCGGTAAAAATCTCAACCCAATGCCCCCTCTTGGTCGCCGCGAGCTCGAAGACCTGGAAGAGCTCGCTGCTCGTGACCCCCTCGTTCGCAACTTGGTCAAGAAAGTCGCCACCGCCGCGAGGAAGGTCGGCAAAAATCTCAACCCAATGCCCCCTCTTGGTCGCGACCTCGAGAACGTCGAGGAGATTGTGGCCCGCGAATACTACGACGAGCTCGATTAATTGGATATAACAATTCGGAGCACCACTACGATTATGTAGACTAGCATGCTGTACTTATTACCAGCAGTACCTTGTAGCAACTTGATAGACAAAAAAATGTCAACCTTGGGGGAAAGAACAGGAGTAGGTCAGGCTCACTGAGACCGTAGCGTCGGACTCGATGCAACATATACGTTTCATGTCTAGAGATCTTATGTAAATCTGACATCGAGAATCTCACGTATGCGCCATTTTCTCCTCAATTTCATTCTGTCAGAGGACGAATGGCTTTGGCTAGAACCGTCATCCAACCTCATCCTCCAGTCCCCGAATTCCACCACCATGACGCGCAAGAAAGCTAAGGCAAGCACAGATACTGGAGAGATTGCAGAACGATCCATGAAATTCTTCATGTCGTCAATACGCGACCCACAAAAGGTCGTGCACTGTGGGCGATGCCTGTATGGTGCCTTGCTCCTTTCGACCGCAGACCCCGAGCGTCCGATCGACACGCCGGAGAAATCGCCAACCTCGATCAGGAAGAATCTTGAATTTTGGAATCTCCTCCTCTCGTTTCTTGTTACCCCCAGAACGGACGAAGAAGTTGACCGCATACTCACTTCGTTCTCGCAATGTTCTTGCCACCTCACTGATCCCAATATCAGCCAATACCACAGGGCTGCACAGCTAGCAGAGGCGGGCTCGATGAACAGGACATGGATGGAATATTACGCACCGCCGTCTGAGAAATCGAAGTACTCGACTGCGCGGTGCGCCTTCGTGATCAAGGGTTTTACCGTCCTTTACTCTGGCCTTAAGGAAGGCGGCATCAAATCCGTAGCAAAGGACACTACCCGTACATGGCCTGGTACCCCAGCGGATCTCATGCCATTTGGCCCCGACGAACTGGTGAAAACCATGCTGCAGTGGTATCGCTTTGCCCCCGACCCCATCGTTGTCCAACTTATCACCCGCATCCTCCACACCGCTCGCCACACCCTTATCCCCAGCCTTTACAAATATCGCCTTGCCCACTCCTTCGTTGATTATGCGCGAAACATATTCGACCTCACCGTTGTCGAACTCCAGAAGCCACGGCCTGCATCTGACAAGGCGTATTTGACGGCTACGACAGCCAACCTCATGCGGTATCACTACATACTGCAAGGAGTGTTGGACTTCTTGAACGAAGTCCTCAACGAGCTACCGTGTGATTGCATTGCGGACATAATACTTGGTTGCGAGACCAAGTTCATGCAACTATGTTCCCTCATCGTTTATCTCTCCTCCGATCCATGTATGGTCAACCACGAAGCCAATGAAAAGGCAATTGACTCCTTCACACGTCATGGCTTCTCTCTCTACAGGCTTTTCCACATGCACCTCCCCCCTCGTCCCGACATACCCCTCCACCCGGATATCGTGAAATTGGACGAGAAAATCTTCCCTCCCACCCTCCGTCAGAACTGTCCCGAAGACTGTCTTGCACTGGATTGGAACCTTCCACAAGGAAGATCGGTGTACAGCGTACAAGTGTCCCAACTCGATACAAAGCGCAGGCAGGAGCTTCCAACGCTGCAGCCGCTGCCATGCCGTCTCGTACTGTGGACGCGACTGTCAGGCCACCGCATGGCGCGATGAGAAGTACCCCCACAAGCGGGTCTGTCGTGCTATCCGCTCCTTGGTTAACGCGGCAGGTGGACCAGGGCTGTTTTGGCATACATCCGATTCCCCTCCTATACCGATGGAGATTCCTACAGATTTGCCATTCATAGCCTTCGAACCTTATATCCTGGAAAATTGGAAGAAGGTCGGTATCAGTGAAGACCACAAAGATATGGTCCTCGTTTATGACTGGTCCAAATACATCGAAGGGACAAGAAACGTGCCTAATGGATCGACATGGACCGAGGGATTTCCCGACTACGAAGACGCCCTTGCGAGGGTGACCGTTCCGCTTGGATGAGGTCCAAAACGTGAGTCAGTGGCTACAATTTAGAGGAACATTTCTTGATGTTTGACTTTCTAGCCCGTTATATGAATCGACTTGCAAGATGGCCTTGCGAGCTCGCAAAGGAGAAGGCTCTCCTGGAGGCGCAACCGTTTTGGGATCAAGACATCGCCATGTAATGCAATTTCATCTCCCCCCTTTGGTCGCTCTGCTCTCAAGTTGTAGTATCTATTACAATGCTTTCGTTGCTTTGATTTCATGTTTTTCATGTACATATGCATATGTATTTTCGTGTCCTTTGATTGCATAGTATAAGCAATACGGTCTCCTTTGTACCGACTCTCTCGCTACTGACCGTGACAGTGGTTTACTTACCAATGTGTAGAGAGTTACCCTCGACGCAATCGCGCGTCCACCTCACCAATCTCAGCTGACACGAACGGGCGATGGAATGGCTGACAACCTTTGATAATTTCTCTTCTGCCATGTATTCTGAGGGGTGACTTCTCCCTCAATCCATACTTGCCCTTTACCCTCCAGTGTCTGCCGTGGGCCCGTGAAATAGGCCCACTCGATGCCGCCGCCGATACCACCAGATCGCAGGTACCTCTCGTCCTCGCAACGCACAGGTGCAGACATCGGCGTAGCATAGTCCTTAGAATGTACCTTGTTTCAAGAAAAAAAAACATTGTCATTAATGTAAAAAAAACATGTCAGCATCCAAGAAAGCAAGAAGAAAACTACATAGCACGAATGTTCAACTCCACGTACGCCTTTGCCCGTTCCCTGTTGTTCTTAAGCATCATCCTCGTGTTCTTGATGCCGTGAACCTTGCGCCCCCAATCTTGACGCGACAGGGGTTTGGCCTTACCCTCGCGAATGTCTGCCATCCACTGCTGGAAAAACCCCTCGTCGAATTCTGTCCATCCTGGCCAGCCATAGCCCTGCTTCTCCCAGATATCCGGGGGAGGGAACCACGAGACCGTTGTTTTCTGCTCGCCACGCCCTATATGCAAGGAATCAATTCAGTATTGAAGTCACTCGTGGAAGAGAGACCTTACCTGTATAGAGGCAGTACGTCCCGCACAAACATGCAATCTCCTCACCAGTGAGGTCATCGTCCCAGTAGAAATACCCATCGCATTTAGAAGGGACGAAGTACCCTGAATGATGCGCTGTGACCTTGATGGATGGTCCTTGCAACCCAGACTCCTTGCTACCGAATTCCCTTGCGATCCTCCCTACAATGCCACCACGAAGTATTGCAGCTTGCCCTTGCGGCCGCCAGCAGCGTACGGCACTCAAGCATAGCGCTGTCAAACTCTGCCATCGTGAATTGGTGGTTGTCGAAATGGATGGCGTCATCTGCGTATGGGAGATCGAGCCGTTCGGGCTCCAAGGAGGCCTGTAGGAGGGTACGGAAGGGTATGTGGTGCTCAAGTAGGTGGGAGGCGATCGTCAGCACCGTATGTGTATTCGGAGCGGAGGCGACCAGTCGGCAGATGTAAAGAACGATCGTAGGGTGATCAACACCGATGACCCATTTGCAAGAGGGAGAAGGAGGTAGCTTGAACACATATAGGTCCTCGTTGACACGTTCCACAGTGTCGAATGAGAAGGTTGTCGCCAAAGGCTGGTCCGACGTTGCGTTGAGGTCGTCGCAGGGTGCTGGCAATCCCAAAGAGCTGTCGATGAGGCATGAAATGAACTGGCGAATTAGAACCTTGTCTCGGTCTGAGACAGCAGGTTCTGATTTTGTCCCGATGACACCCAGGACGTTGGACCAACTCTGGAGGTCGGGTGCTTGAGTTGGGCGGTAGGGGAAGGCCTGAATCCATACGCAAGGTTGAGAGAAACGAGGATGTTGGTTTCAGCATCCATGGGTTCCAAGGTTGTGACGCCCTTCTTAACCCAAGTTGAAGTAGCACCTTTCGTCAACACCCTTGTCCTCGAATCCCCGAGATCAACCATCATGCATCATGCCGCCCAAGAAGGCTAATCCAAGCGCGGATTTTGAAGAGATAGCAGAACAATCCATGAAATTCTTCATGTTTTCAATTCGGGACCCACACAAGGTCGCGCCCTATGGGTGATGCCTTCGATGAATTTCATCCTCACTTCTACCTGCCATTCCCAGGATCCAAGACATCCAATCCGTTGCGATCATTGCCTCCACGGAGCATATCAAGCCTTTCTTGTTCCCTATCCACTGACCACCCCTCAAAGCTTATTCTTCTTCTCTCCGATAGCCTTCCTGTTGGAAGAGCGGCCCATCGATCCTCAAGGCCTCAAGGGCCACACGTGTTGCTCGATACTTATATATATCGAGAAACATCCTTCGACATGCATCTACCTGCATGACACTTTCCTCTTCTCTTAACCAACGCCATGTCGCAAAAGAAATCCAATCCGTTGAGAGCCAGCATCCATCCTGGGGCGCCAACACCCGAAAATGTAATGGATTTCACCCTTTCCTCCATCCGCGATCCCCAAAACCCCGCCCACTGCGGTCAATGCCTCTATGGCGCGTTGTTCGTGCTCACGATCACTGCACCTGACCCTCTTCCAGGGACCGAGGCAGCGTTCAAGCTCCCTGCCCCGTTACGCAAAAATACCCCCTTCTGGAATTCTCTGCTCGCGTTCCTCGTCATGCCAAGATCGGACGAGGAGGTCGAGCGCCTTCTCAAGAAATTCGCGATCTGCAAATGCGACCTGAGGGACAGGCTCGTTCGTGAATATCACGCAGCGGGAAAGGCGAAGGAAGAAGATATGATGAAGAGGATGTGCCTGGAGCTCTGGGCACCGAAGGAAGAAAAGAAGAAGTACACCACTGCACGGTGCGCGGTCGTTGTCAAAATCATCCAGACGCTCGACTCGGCTCTCACCGAAGGACATGTACGGTCTGTCGCGAAAGGTCTAACGGAAGCCTGGCCGACGGCACCGACAGATCTCATCCCGTGCGGCGCTGACGAACTTGTAGAGAGTCTCTTGCGATGGTATCGTTTCGTTCCGGACCCTTTAGTCTTCCACCTAGCGGCACACATTCTCCATACTTGCCGATTCCTTCTCGTCCCAAGCTTCGTGAAATATAGGCTTTCGGCTGTCATGTTCGACTCGTTCTACGATTCCTTCAAGCAAATATCTGAGCAACTCAACAAACTGCCCGCCGTCATCTCAATAACTAACCCAGAGGGCATTACCATGGGCGTCAGTACCATGGTACGGTATCACACCCTTGTGTCCACAGTAATCGAATATCTCAACGAGGTCCTCAAGATGCCAGAAGATTGCATACCCGACATCCTTGTGGATTGCGAAACAAAGGCAATACAGCTCTGTTCCGTCATCATCTACCTCGCTAATTCCCCCCGCATGGGCGCTTATGCGCTACCCAGAGAAACGTGGACCAGAATCCAATGGTACGGCTACGAAGTCTTCCGGCTCTTCTCTGCACACCTCCAATCCCGCCCGGACACGCCTCTCCACCCTGCCATCGTCGACATTGACGACCACAAGTCCAAGTCCAAGTCCAAGTCCAAGTCCAAGTCTGCATCCATGCCCCGACCGTCCCACCAATCTACCGCCCGCGCCGTCATGGCATGCATCGCGTCCTTGCATGCCGAGAACAGGTGCTCGGCGTACAAATGCCCCAACTCGATCCAGAGCGCAGGAAAGAGCTTTGCTCGGTGCGCGGGGTGCGGCACGGTGCCATACTGCGGGCGCGAGTGCCAGAAAGCGGCCTGGCGCGAGGAGCGGTACCCGCATAAGCGCGTGTGTCCTGCGATACGTTCTTTGGTGGACGCAGCGGGCGGCCCAGGGTTCTTCTGGAGCGTGTCCGAACCGCCGGAGGTGGTGAAGGGTTTCTTGAAGGGGAAGGATGAGGAGCCGTGGGTGCTCTGTGAGGGGTATATTAGGGAGAGGTGGCAGGAGGCCGGGATTGAGGAGGACAATGAGAATGTGGGGTATGTGCTTGCGTGGGCGAAGTATGTTGATGGTGGGCGTGGTAGCGGGACTGAAGGGACGAAGTCCTGGAGTCCTGGGTTTGACGACTATGAGGCCTTTATCGGGAAATTGAGTGCAGGAGGTCCACACCGTGAGTGCCATCCACTTTTTCATTCAATTCTCATTCCAACCTTCGTTAAAAGCTCGATATATAAGCCGCGTTTAAAGCTGGGAAATAAAGGACTGAGAAGGCATATATACTCTCCCGGACGTTGTTTCGACCGAGACGGAATGGAAATTTCATTTCTTGTTTCGTAATGAACCAGAAGTACTGTACATAACATGCTGATGCCATTTTCCAGTGCTATTTCCTCCTTACCAGAGCTCGTCGAAGAACTCGACGTCGCGCGGGTTCGGGTGCTCGTGCTTTGCCTTCCTCTTGCCTTGCTCGTGATTCTCCTCGGTCTCGTTCTCAGGATGCTCCTCAACGTGCTCGCCACCCTCTGCACCCGCCTCCGTACCACCATGTCCCTCTGTTGCACCCTCGGTCGGGTGATGGTCACCCTCATCGCCCTCTACAGGTTCGCCACCGTCAACAGGCTCGCCATCCTCAGTTCCCTCGACGGGAGCTGGGTTGTGAATGGGTGGTGTGGTGGTTTGCGGGACGTCCCATTGAACAGTACCATCATGCGGGGTGCCGAACACAGACACCTCGAAGTGTGTCGGGGGGAAATACTGCATGACGTGCACCCCACTCGGGGTAGTGTATTCTTGGACATAGCCGTTGGCAGATTGGGCTTGTTGGGCGGCTTCGAGGTGGCGATGAAGCTGGTTGAGGTGTCCGGCGTGTCCGATTCTGGAAGGATTTGGGTGATCGTGCTCAGTTTGAGTGGTGCTTTGGAATAACAGATCCACATACCTTGGAAAATCTAACAGTCTGCCCATACCCAGGTGGAAGATGGGTGCCGCGAGCGAAGGTGACACTGCGAGTGCGGTGAAGAAGACAACGGAAGTGATTTGGACCATATTAGTGGTTGTGGATTTCTTCAGTAGATCGTGCGGTCAACGCAAAGATTCGTATGGGGGTGAGGCCAGCTCAGGTGAAGAACTCGACTCCGGTGCTGCCAGGTTTATAGCCATGTCGCGGCCGGTTGTGAAGGATCGGTGATGACGCACGAGCTTCCATTTCTGGTCTTTGCGGTGTGGCGAATGATCGGGATGAGCGCCTAATGCTGCCGATTTGGACACCGTCTCTAGGGTCGACGAGATCAGGGAGACGAGAAGCGCTGGGAAGTGCACCCCAACCCTGGCTGCTACGAACAGTGTACAGCCATGGACGGGTGTTGTGGCGTCGAGTTCAGAATTACGTAGTGCCGGAGCACTCGAAGCCTCGACCTTTCTGGATAGCAATCGACGATCGTATTTGCGCCCCGACGGTTATCTTACTAGAAACAGCTCTATGCAACTTCGAGAAGGTATAAGTATTTGCTGCATTATTACCTTATGCTTTGAGATTTCAAGCTTCAACGGCAAATGATTTTCAGAGAGCTTAAATAAAGACTTGATAAAGGTTCGAACTTCAAAGCTTCGAAGGAAACCTCGACTACTAGCTTGGTGCCCACTCAAATATTCATCCTCCAGCTTTCAGCTAGCAGCTTACTGACTTCTAGCTGGAAGCTTTGGATCTTTCAAGCTTTGATGGTTTCGAGTTTGTTGAAGACATCTGGTGAGGCAAATTTTGAGCCGTACATCATCCGTCCATAAACATATGGTTCACAGTAATAAATTCAGAAGCTCTAGTTCACATTCACCACGTCTAAAAAGTGTCGAATCCCAATCTTCGAAGACTCAGAAAGTGGGGTCTCCTGTTGGGCCTTATGACCCCTAAGTTCCGCGTGATATTAAGCCCTATAAAAGGAAGGTTTCGATAGCCGGAGTGCCAATGGGAGAGCAGCATTTCTCAACAGCGACCCGCACCCTGTCCCTCCTCTCCCTCTGGGCAGACCACGCGATCGTTCTTGGGCCTTACCCCACACTTTTGCCCTCCTTCCTTTCCGGTCATCTTCCCCAGAATTTTGCCATTTCAGCCGGCGGGGCTTCTCATCGTTCTCTCCGTTCCCCGCCCCCGACCAACTCCGCAGCTACGCATTCATGATCAACGAGAAGGAAGAAGGCACCTCCCGACTATCAGCACCCAGCATGAGCAGCGGGCCCAGCAGCGGCACGTCAGGGTCGGCGACACCGAGCATACCACCCACTCCGGGTGATGAGAATGGCATCCATTTCACCCCGAAACGTGCTATGATGTCCTTCGAGAACCTAGTCGCGCTGGCAAACCACCAGGAGAGACTAAAGGAGGCGAGGAAGATGGTGTGGAGAGACAAAGGACAGCCAGTTGTCGAGCTAGACACACTTGAGGCATGTTTGGCCCATGCCATGTCCGGAGGGTTTCGTGAGTGTACTACAGGTCTTCCGTGTCAAGCATATCTGCTGATTGTTCACTTCATCTGTAGGAGCTGCGACTTTAGCATTTAATATTCGTGCATCCGTAAACTTGGTGCTCGCCCTCATTCGTATACCCCGAGTCCCCAAGTACGTTTACATCTTCAAAATGTTCATTGGGTTCTCAATCACTCGCCACAGGGACTACCGCTTTGCCATGATCCGTCATGCGCTCTTCGGAACCGACACCTGGAGATTCGCAGCTATGCTTGGTATATCATTTCTACCTCTAACGTCATCTCAATCTCAACAATTATTCTTAGGCACATTCGCATCCCTTTATAAATTCCTCATCAATGCCCTGCCCATTCTCATCCCGGCCTTGAACCCACAACAAACTCCTTCAGCTCTGCAAGACGATTCCGATGAGTCTGACGATTTAGAAGCCCAGACTGGGTTGAAAGTTCCGTTACAGAAGCGCAAAGCCCGGATGTCGTTGACGGCTCGTGCGCAAATGGTGCTCATCAGGAAGCAGACGCGGAGATGGCATGCTGCGTTAGCCGGTGCTGTTGCAGGAAGTTTTGCCATCATGTGGGAGACGAGGAGCAGGAGAGGGGTTATTGCTCAGCAATTATTTGTTCGGTATGGCTTGACTTTTTGTTCTCGTCTTCGGAAGGGTAGCTCATGTTGCATCAGTGGTCTGCAGGGTTCGTGGAATGCCTACACAACGAAGAGGAATATTCGCGTGCCGAATGGCGACGTGCTTGTCTTTTCCCTGGCGTACGCCCTTTCCTACCCTTATGCGACCTTCTCCATCCTGACACATCTATTTCAGTTGTGGTCAGATCCTTTACGCATGGCTGCTTCGACCAGATACTTTACCTCGATCATATTCAAGCTGGTAATATGTGCCCGTTATGAGACTACACATTCTCTGACATGCTTTCTCTTCGTTTGTAGGATTAGCCAGGCTTCCAAAGTTCCTCCGGAATGTGTACGAATGAATCACGACCTCGTTCGTGACGGCGTGCTCAACGTAGCCGACGTCGACTCACTCGTCCGCCGAGCAGTACGTCATTTTGCAACACTTCTTTCAACCTTGGTCAAGCCGCCCCTCTAGGATATCACACCTTCCAACAAGACCGACCTTCTCGCCCTCCGAAATGCCTTCCTCAACCCCCTACCCAAGGATGCATCAGGCGTAGCACCTTATTTCCCTCTGTATGGTCCGTGTTCTGCTGTGCATCCAGCCCTTTCCTCCTGCGCCGATGTCCCACTCGACCGGTTCTTTGCGGTGTTTAAGTGGATGCTGCCCATTTATGGAGCATTGCATTTCATTCCTGCGGTGTTGTTTAAGCGGAAGGCTTTCGTGCAGGACCCGGGCAAGATGCTCATCAAGGCGAGCCTGGGCAGTATGAGGAGTTCAGCGTTCTTGGGGGTGTTCGTTATCATTTATCAAAGTCAGTATCCTTCTCTATTGTACAAGAGAAGAAGATCCATACTCATCTTTCTTTTTTCTCTAGCACTCTACTGCTACAAACACCATCTGCACAAATTCCTCACCCTGCTGCGCACAGGGGCCCGTCCTTCCACCCTATTCACGTCGCCCCTCGCAAGCATCCCGCCATGGGTGACGGACCTTCTCATCTCGAAGTTCTCGTTCTGGCTACCCGGGTTTGCAGCCGGCTTGTCACTGTTCGTCGAGGAGAAAAGGCGCAGAGGCGAGTTGGCGATGTACGTCCTGCCAAAGGGGCTGGAGAGCATTTGGGTTATGGCGAGGGGTAAGGGGTGGGTGTTTAGGACGGGCAAGTGGGGCGAGACGATCTTGACGGCGTTGGGTATGGCTATGGTTATGGTCAGTTTCTTTTGGGCTTTGGCTTTGGTCCTTGGGTTGACGATTTTTTTGTCTTTGCAGAGCACGTACCAAAATGACCCGCAACACCTGTCCGGACTCGTGAGGAGGATTATGTACCAGTTCATTGGGCCGAACTGAGCGAGGACAACGGATAACGGACCAAGCCAGTGCGGATACAGAAAGGCTGGAGCTGGATGGAGGTGAGTAAAAATATTTATGATACGCTCTCATCTAGGCTTCTTTGGACTGACGAATGGACAAAGATGATATAGGTGTAGATGAAGAATGTACTCGCAATGTGTAGGCGAAGAACACGGTGTTTGGATACCCCGATGCGAAGCGAGGAGACCGTCATGAAGTCAAAGCATCCCCTGACGGCCCAGATGGATGCTAATCTCCATTCTACTCTGGACGCCAATGTCGACTGCAGACGCGCCCCAGAATTCAAATCGTCGTTGGGTCGGGGGGCCATTGCATGTACAGTGCAGCGTGGCGCTTCCGCTTTATTCAGGCTGCTATCAGTCAACGATACTTCGGAATGCACTTTCGTCGGCGGATCGGCCGTGTTGTCGTTCTCTATAGCGACCTACAGGTGCTAGTACTCAATATTTCAATCCACATACTCGGCTTCAAGCTTCAAGAATCGAGACTAATATTTGTCCGAGTCTTTCTCTACTGCGGCGTCGATTCTTTTGTCATTTCTAACTCGTGCAGAGCTCTTCCTTCGATTTCTTGCTTTGATCCAGAGAAACTTCAAGACGCTTTTGCTTCGCGATGACTGGTTGACCTGTCATCTTTATTGTTTGGTTTATCTTATCTTATCTTATCAGGAGACACTCGGCGAATGCCGAATGACGAATCGGTGAGCGTTTTTCATATCATGTCCATCTCTCCGTTCAACCTTCTCCATTACATACAGACGACGCCCGTATGTGATCATCTTGACCGGACGCCCACATGCACTCTATGGTTAGAACGGACTTTGTCTGACTGAAGATTCCCGTTTCTTCCATCTCCTCGGCGGTGGCAAAGTTCAATTGTCTTTCGCCACTTGAACAGGTCCGTGCTGCCTCCGTACCCTCATGCGGTTGATCGTAAGGCGCTGACAGGAAACACATAGATCTGTATCATGTCAATGGTCGGTACTGCTACCTGCCGCCATGTCCTTGTTCTCCTTTTGAATCCTCCTCAGGGTTCTACATACACCTCGGCACACGACTCAACAGAACGGTGATATCAGAAGAGGATGCCGGTTTTGCTATTTCTGTGGCTCAAAATCGATGGTCTACTCTTCTCCTTGTTCCCGATCGTGGCGGATACTCGGGAGCCTTTATTGCCTATCTGGTACTATCAATTCGTAGCAGGTGCTCGATGTCCTGTTGGGTGACGGGCACCAATTCAGTCCCTGCGGTCCAAGGATGCGAATGGTAAGGCAGGTTCGCCCCCGCACACCTACGGTTGCGCTCGAAAAAAATTGATTCAGCTGCCCAGGTTCTCCGTAGTGCATTCCGCTGTCGGTGTCAAGTCCGCGCCGGGTTATGTGGCCTTCCCAACGTTATGGATTCATTGTATGCGGAGGCCTATTCTTGTATCTTTCCGAACATACATTCCAGGTTCCTTGCACTTCTCTTCCTTTCATCTGTTACAGCGCCGATGTCTTTTTACGCAGCCCCAAGCCTGACTTAGAAGTCGGTGCATCCTCGGCAAGGAGGGTTCAATCAAGATTTAATTACCTGGCTTTCGATTCCACCATCCAGTGTCTATTTATAACTGGCCTGCGCCGCTGCTTTCTGTTCCCAACCTTCAGACATGGGTATAAAACTGCTAGCAGTACTGCTGGCTTGCTTCAAGTTCTTCACCCGCCGATCTGACGACGATTCTACTTCTGAACCTCCACCAATGTCTTGCCCTGTGCGAACACCCGATGGCCGCCCCCTACCCCGCCTTCCGTACATGAAGAGGAGGGAAGCGCCGACGACTTACCACGATGCACTCAAGCTATCCGTCGAAGGATTCAAGGACATGAGGTCCATGTAAGTCTTTGCAGCCTTATGACCCTTGCGATAAGGAACTAACCGCTGAGTTTTGGGCAAAGGCTTGACTGGTTCTTCGACGTCGCCGACTTTCAGCCAATCGCTCGCTCTCTCACGACAACTGAGGCCGAAACCCCTCCCCAGACGGATGAAGATAACCTAAAGAAGAAGCGGGCGCTCTATCAATGGGAGCTCAACGACAGCTTCCCTCCTCACTTGAGGACTGTTCCATCGGCGGTCAGCCAGCCAGCCACCTCAATCTTCAAGTTCAAGCGTCTCTACGACTCCCTCCAAGCAGTATACCCATGGCTCCCAGATGTAGACTTCTTCCGCAGCCTCGCGCCATCTGCGTCTAACGACATGGCCTCCCTCGAGCGCCGGAACAAGCTACTCCATTACACCACGATCGGAACCATGTACACTGCCGAGAACATCGGTCTCCGCGAGGACTGGTTTACGGATGCCGTCTTTGCACAACAACAGTTCATCGGCGTCAACCCCTGCACAATTACAGCAGCCACCCCGCAATGGATCCAAGCCTTTACGAAAGCTGCCACGGACCAGGGCAATGCAGCAGCAGCTCAGCTGATCGCGGCGTCGACGAATTCGTTCTATGTCCAGGATTACAGCAATTATAGGTCGGCGGCGGGAATGGGTCCCACGCAGACCTTGACATCAGATTTTGGCGACACGACGGGACACCAGCCCCGGTTTGGATGTGCGTCAGTAGTCCTATTCCAGTTGCTGCCGAATGGCAAGCTCCATCCCATCGCCGTCGTCCTTGATTACAAGGGCAGCATCGATGCCAATATCAGCATCACGGTCTTCAACAAACGCCTCTCTCCTACGGCTAATTGGGACCAGAAGAACGATTGGCCGTGGCGCTATGCGAAGATGTGTGCTCAGGTGTCGGACTGGACGCGTCATGAGCTTGCGGTGCACCTTGTGCACACTCACTTCGTCGAAGAGGCGACAATTGTGGCAGCTCAGCGCAGTTTCCCTGATTCTCATATCGTGTTTGCATTGTTGAGCCCGCATTGGATCACGACGCTTTCGTTGAACGCACTGGCGAGAGAGGTCCTTGTGCCCTCGATGGTTGCCCCAATTTCGTATTTCAAGGTATGTAAATTGTTGTGATATTTCTGAGCCTCTGAGCTGATGGCCTCTCAGATTCCCGAGATATTTGCTATCTGCAACGACGCTTACCATTCATTTGATTTTGTGGGGTCATATGTTCCAAACGACATGAAGAGGCGTGGTTTCGACGTCTCTCAGTTCGATGATCCCAAAGGCAAGTTCCACAACTACGCCTACGGTCGCGACGTTGCGAAGATGTGGGATGTCCTACGCAAGTTCGTCAGCTCAGTCCTAACTGCCCACTACAAGGGTGGTGATGCCGAAGTCGCGGCCGATAAATACGTGGCTGGCTTCTGTACGGAGATGCAGTCTTCCGAAGGCGGAGGGTTATCGTCATTCCCGACCATCAAGACTCTGGACGACCTCGTCGACGTAGTCACGATGTGCATCCACATCGCAGCGCCCCAGCACACTGCCGTCAATTACCTTCAACAATTTTACTTGACCTTCGTCCCGAACAAACCATCTGCGCTTTTCGCTCCTCTGCCCAAGTCCCTCAAGGAGCTGCAGGGATATAAGGAGCAGGACATCCTGAAGGCGTTGCCCCTCCAGTCTCAGGTTAGCTGGCTCATGATGGCTCAGGTCCCGTACTTGCTGTCTGCAGAGGTCGAGCCAGAGAACAATATAATCACATATGCGGGCGAAGCGGCGAGCAACCGCAACCCACTCATTGCTCAGGCAGGTAAGGTACTGCAGAAAGATGTCGCGACTTTGGGGACGACGTTCAGGGACATAAGCGACCAGATGGATGACCAGGGCACAAAGTACAAGGTTTTAGACCCTGTAGATTTGGCGTCTGCTATAATCATCTAATTTAACGCTGCACTTTGCGTACGTATCTTTTTTTGATCAATACTTAGCACTTACACTTTAGTTTTTTTTTTTCTTTCTTGGTGTCATAAATAAGGCTGGCACGTAAATCTTCATAATTATATCTATATTATTCTCTCTCTTTTGACTTTATATCGAATCCCCGAGGAAGTGGTGCCCTGTCAGTGTCAAGTAACTGCAGGTTAGGAGACACTATGATTTGGGAGTGACGTCACGCGTGGTTGTCTCATTCCCCTCCACTACTCATGACGTCGGCTCAACATCATCGTCCTCCCTCCTATACTTAAAGCTCGAAGGCGGGTCCTCCTGTTGTTATTTTCTCAATTTATCTCGTCCTAATCATGTCTCTTCCACCCGCTACAAAGGATATTAGCAACCACCCAGTCAAAGGCTCGGTCGTTGAGCCTGTCAACAAAGCGGAGAAAGACGCTGATGTTGAGAGAAAGGTAGGTCTATTTATCTCATTTTCACATACAATTTTCAATGAAATTACCTAGCTTCGTCTTTATGGAGTCATTGACGCGTTTCGTAAGGGCAAGCTCCCTGCCAACGCTCAGATTGACAGCACTCTCCGATATGTTTTGGACCACTCTCCTGTCAGCATTGACGAGCTCTCCTCTGAGGGAAAGAGGCTCATCCAAGACACCCGCGATATCATTAACACTGCTCGTTTAATGGTCCAAGAAAAGAACGCAGATGAGCTCTTCCAGAACTTTGTTTGGCATACGCGAGACGTCCAGGTTGACAATCTCAAACCTGGCGATTTGAGCGAGAAGATTCCGGTTGACGGTGAAAAAGCGAAAGCGGATGGTGATGAAGGTTCGTTACTTGTGCTTCCTTGTCTAGAGCAGACATTCAGACGTTTCGATAGCAGTCAAACATCTACGAACTCTACTCACTCTTGTCCTCACCAATTCCGAAGTCCGCAAACTTCTCTCTGATTTCTCGCTCATCGGACGTGACCTACTGGCAAAAGGTGCTAGCAAGGCTGCTGAGATGGTTGCACCGCCAGCGGGTCAGCTTCGCAATGTCGACCAATCAGCTCCGAACGACCAGTTCATCACGGAGAGCGGTCGTGTTGCAGGTCCGAACGAGACTCCCGTTCTCGAAACCAAGGTTCCAGGAACCGACAAGACCGTCCAGCAACACCCTGCTCATCCTGGACCTATTCTCAGGCATGAGGATGGCACAGAGCAACCAGCGAGTGAGCTTCGAGACCAAGCGCATAGTCAAACCGCGACGATGAAGAGCCAAGTCGCCGCTGTGAAGGGAAAGGCATGGGAGGATGCCCAGACACATGCTCAAGAGGTCGCCGACGCGGAGAATCCTGAGGCAGAGACGGAGGCGAAGAAACGTGGCGTTATGGATAAGATGAGGCAGTTCCGAGTACGTTTTCTGTTCTGAAAGTCGCGCATATATTCATCATTCTTATGTCTAGGACAATGTCCGCGACGGATTCAACGAGCGTGTTCCTCAAGAGCAGCAGGATACCGCACGGGAGAAGGTTGACCGAACCAAGCAATTCTTCACCGAGGAATACTTCCCCGAAGAGCGCCGCGACCAGTTCATCTTCCGCGGCAAGAAGGTCATCATGGAATGCCAGAAACACGATAATTATCAAGAGTCTGTCCGATGGCTTCTTGGATTCGTTGAGGAGTACGCCAAGCACGGTCGTACAGCTGCAGTCGCGGGCAAAGACCATACTCAGGGTGTTACTAATGTATGCTTCTTATTTCTTAACCTGCTCTCAACGTTGAGTTCAACCGTTAAACAGAACAAACAGCTCAATATTTGCATCTCTGAGCTACGTACTCTCCTAGAGAGGTTCGCGAACAATAAGTCGCTAGACACCGTCATCGACGCCATCAACGTGCTTATCGACGATTCTCGCCGTGACGAGTCGTTGAGAGAATGGTTCAAGTCTGTCAACTTTTACATTCGCAAGGTACTAATCTCCGGTCGTCCGCCTTTGCGAAAACTCATTGTATGCATCTAGGTTTTGCTCGAGCCTGGCTACGTCCTCGAACCTGATTGCAACAACTATGCCAACCGCCTCCGCGAGACCGGCCATCAATTCTATAGCGAGAAGTACCGCGAGGAGTTCGACAATCTCTTCAACAGTATTGGAGGCTGGTTCAAGGCAATGGGTGACGATCCTGTACGTTCGATTCAGTTTCAAGTGCTTTGCCATTCTGATGCTTTCGTGATAGCTCAATAAACAATTCGGTGAAGACTGGGCTCGTCTCACGAAGGACTTGTTGTTCGACGGCGACGGCAGTCTCAAGTTCAAGCCGGAGTTGTGGAACGACATCCGCAAGGTTATTCTGCCAACCCTTATTGACGAGGTAACGAATTTCTTCTCGATGGCCTTACAGCATACCTAATGACATTGTTGCATTGAAGGCCGGTTACATTCCAATCCCGAGAATCGAGTACAGCGACGAGTCTCTGGATCTCGTCGTTGAGAACCTCACTTTGCAAGGACGGAACTTATTCCCCAACATCATTGCCCTTGAGGCGCACAACTTCCTCAAGTTCTCGCCCTATAACGCCATTACCGACGACTACCACCACCGCATGACGCTCACTTTCGAACAAATGCAAGCCGATATGCGCGATGTGGCATTCTACTACCACAAGAAGACTGGGCTTCCCAAGATGAAGGATTCTGGTCTCGCTGACGTCCTTCTCGGTGGAGAGGGGCTGAGTGTACGTCATTCCTATTATCGTCTCCACCCACCCTTCATTCTAATTATTCTTTTTCAGGCAACTGTACACCTCGTATCCACCCGCCGTGACAAGTCTTCTGTCTTCAAGGTCGAAGACATTCACGTCAAAGTCGACACCTCAAGTTCGCCATCCGCGACTCGAAGCATGACTTCTTGTACAAGACCCTCCGACCACTCGCCACTGGTCTCATCAAGAAGCAGATCCAGAAGGCCATCAAAGACGCGTTGAGGACGGGTCTCGAGTACGTCGACGGCCAGCTGGTGGCCGTCCGTGATCGGATGGACACTGCGAAGGTTACCGAGGGCCAGAGTCGTACTGAGGTGCTCAAAGATGTGAGTCTCTCCTTTGCCTCTTGGACTTGCCATTCATGATTGACGACCTGGTTCCAAAAGCTTTTCAAGAAGAAGAATGAAGAGGCCTCGCTGAAGTCTGCGGAATCACGCTCGCAGTTCAAGATCGTCTCGGACAAGCGGAATTCGATATTGTCGACCGCTGGAAACCCGGCGGGATGGGTGAATCGGACTGCGGAGATGGAGAAGAAGGCTTCTCAGGGAGGAGAGTGGAGGTCCGAGGCGTGAGTGTTCTAACCTCATTTGTGAACGCGCAATTCTGACCTCGGGTTAGTTTCCACATCGTTCCGTCGAGGAATTGAGCTACGTTCTCACTGTAATACCGGCACCGATCCACTTCCCCGTGAATATATGACTGTCTTCTGTTCTTGGGTATCTACTACTTCCTACACACTGGTGGGAGGTTGTAATTGTAGTTTGTCCTTTAGTGCCGTTCAATGTGATGTATTATTTACCTGCAGCCAGATGTATAACCCGGTTGTTTCACCACCGAACATAGTTTTCTGCAGTTTGTTGGACAACTAAAATGTATCAGGCAGTGGCTGGCTGTTGGGCGTTTCTGCAGGGGCGTAAAGGTACATAATAAACAGAACATCTGTGATTCATGCAACCTTCGACATCATCGAAAGAATCATCCACGCAATATTGATACAGGGAGGAATAGATTGTGGATGTAGTTGGGGTACGGTGCCGACAAAAAAATACAATGGATAATTTAAGTTTGACAGGATGAGTGCTCATGGCCACTTTTTATCGGGTGCGTAACGAAGTCATGACTCTCGTGGTCATACAGTATTTCTCGGGAGCGCAGCCAGAGAGTTCCGGATGAGTGTTGTATGTGGCGAAGATTGCATGGGCGCGGGAGCAAGTTCATCGGGATATCCGGCCCGGCCGGCGCTAAGCCTCAAGCGCCCACTCTGTTTACTGACCTTCGGTTTCATCACCTCACCAATTGGATCTCGTCAACATTTTGACTAGAAATTTCTAGCAGTGGATTAACCTCGAGAGTCGCTACTCGTCTACACGGATTATTTCCTTAGACTAAGACTGGAGGCCTATTAATCGGGACCAGTCCCTGGGGCCGAAGTAACCTCGGAGAACTAACTTGATGTGCACCCGGACAGATCACGCTTTCAATCGTTCCATTTTAAGCCAGCAATTATATGGAGGAATTCCACCCTCGACTTCAACTTGTGACCATAAGTCGTTGCGCAGATACCAAGACTCTCAGGTCCGGTCTTCATTAGCGGCGGAGTCAGTTGCCCTTCATTATGTTTTTACATCGATACCAGTGACGCCGTTATGAAACACCTTGGCGACAAGCTAAGAGAGTGGCGCATTTTTAGTGGGTACCTGAAGAGTTACAACAAATGGAGGCCTGGCTGTAGCCGTAGACCGCTGCCGCATATGAAGCGGAGCTAAGATACTTCCTTGACCACAGAAAAAAAGGATGATCCCTCGGGGATTTCGACGCTTCACTTCAGAACTTGAATTCCTTGAAGAACACATGCAATTTCGTTCCGTCGGAGAAAGGCCAAATGTGGATGCTGCGCCATGTCGCGTGGACGATGATGGATAACTCCATGAATTGCGTGTTCACAACGAGCCTTTGTCAGTATACCTTGGCATCTAGCTTGAGACCCATCTACATTTTAATTTTCTTGGAGACGCGGTTGAGAGCAATAGTCATAGGGGCGATCCTTACAATGGGACAGGGGATTGATGGCAAATCCCGGACATTGATCATTCGCCACATACCAAAAAAGGGACTTCTCGCCGATCGTGGACTTGTCTTCTTCACGACGTCCTGTGAAAGCGGTTAATCTACAATGCCGAATGCACAGGGGCATGGGATATAAAAGCAACACGAACGCTGCTCTGGGTCTTCAGCTGGTCTCACCCTCACAAACCGAATCATATCCAATCAATCGCTGCGTTGATCGCAACCCCATCCTCCTCCACTCTAACAAATCCTCTTTAACGACCTTTACGTTCATTATGGTTCAAATCACCTCCTCCGTCCTCCTCGCTGCTCTCCTCGCTGCTCCCTCCTTGGCTGCACCCATCACCGCTGATTACGAAAACCTGTCTGCGTAAGTTTAGTTGTTTTCCCCTCGATGGATCTGTTTGCTTATTCTGCTCACTTAGACGTGATCCCCGTATCCGTACTGCCTTGAGGGCGGTTGGAAAGCACATCACCTCCAACAGGGTCGCTGCTGTTGCTGATGTTGCCGCTGCCGCCGGAACGATTACAGCCACCACAAAGTCCGGTCTGCCCGCGACCTCGAGGCTTTGGGTTCGCCGTTCGTGAGCCCACCTTCGGCAAGATCTTCGGCGCCGCCAAGAAGATCTCTGGTGGTGCAGTCAAGGTTGCGGCGTGGGCCCTCTCTGGCCGCGAATTGGATGAGTTGGACCTCTCCGAGCGCGACCTCAAGCTACTCGATGAGCTGATCGCTCGGGAGCCCACCTTCCGTGCCATCGCAAGGAAGGTCAAGAAAGTATTCACCTCCGGTCGTGTGGGTGCCGCCGCCGATGTCGCAGGTGCTGCTGCAACCGTTACCGCCGCTTCCCAGCAGCCGCAGAAGCGCGAGAAATTCGATGACTTCGAGTTGTCTGCACGCGAGCTCGAGGACCTGGAGGAGCTTGCTCTCCGGGAGCCTACCTTCCGTGCTATCGCCAAGAGGGTCAAGATTTCACCTCCAAGAGGGTCAGCGCTGCCGCCGACGTTGCTGGTGCTGGCGCTACCATCGCCGCCACCCGGCAGCAAGCACGAGAACTCGCTGAGCTCGTCACCCGCTACTACGCCATTGACCAGCTCGATTAATTGGATATGAAAATTCGGACTCCACTATGCTTACGACTTTGCTCCAGTACCACCATTTGTATCATGCGTAGGGTAAATCGTTACTGTATTTTAAGGTTCACATAGTGACTACATAGGATAAAATTGTTTGCGCCTCTTACCACTTTGATAAGATAAGATTACACCATCGATCCAATCACGGAGGTGTGACTGCCACCGATTGTCTTTTGACACTCTCTGAATCTACTACTAGTACTAGGCCCTTTCATTCAAAAATCCTACACGATGGGCAAAAAGCGCGCACAATCGCCCCCACGAACAGCAGCAGCTGAAGGAGAAGCTGGTTCGTCCTCGCAGCCTGCAGAACCAGCAAAGGAACCTACACCACCTGTACAGGTCCTCTATTGTCAAGGTACGGTTTCTGAATAATTCTAGCTAAAGGCTGCTATGATATTTTGCCTTCCGCCTCTCATCGTTCGTCTTGTTTCGCGTTCCTTGCAGTTTTCGTCATCTGTTCTCATCTCGGCCATGGTGGAATGGGCACAAGCTGAACGATCCATCTCCTCCACAGTTTGCTCTTTCCCCCTGGAATACTGCGAATTCGGGTCAAGCCTTACAAGGTGCAAAGAGTGGTTGAAAGAGGAGCACCCAGATCTGTACGACAAGTTCTACTCAGAAGGTGCATCTTACCTTCTCTCTTCTCCCTGACGCCATCGTATTGAACCTTCCTTTGCTGCAGAGGCCCTGCAAGCCAAAATCGGTACCCTTAGTCTTGAGGCCCAAACGAAACTCGAGAAAGATACGGCGAAGAAAGAGGCCAAGGCTGAGGCCAAAGCCGATGCTGCACTGAAGAAGAAAATGGCATCCCAGGTGCGTGTCCCCTTCTTCCTCGCTTTGCCTTCGTCTCATTGCACCTTGTTCAAATCCAGGTGACGATCAAGCGGATAGAGCGCACCAAACGCAAACACGTAACCGCTATCCACGGGTTGGAAGCCTTCTCAATCGATCTCAAGAAGGCTGCCAAACAGCTTGCAGGACGGTTCGCTACGGGAGCATCGGTCACGAAGAACGCCCAAGGACTGGATGAGATCGTCGTTCAAGGCGACGTTGCCGATGAGGTGTACGAGATCCTCGAGAAGGGCGAAGGGGTACTCAAGGGAGTACCTATCGCGAACGTTGACATCGTAGAAGACAAGAAGAAAAAGGCGACCGAGTGAACCCATTTAGCAGGGGGCATCCGTGGCGGCTTCGATGCTATCCGATTCGGGGGTTGGGATGTGGGATGGGCATCATCGCATGGCATGGTTTGACTCTGTATGTATTTTCCAAATATCAAGCATTTTTGAGATCATAGATGAAGGATTGATTGGTTCTGATTGCGTATCGTATACAGACTCAATGATCTATCCAACGCAAGAGCAGGACTCTCAGTTATGAAGCATATTATCTGTGCCACATAAGCGACCAGGGCTACATCAAGCGCGATTGCTATGCGGTTCCGGGATTGGCTGCATTGGCTGTGTCTCGCCTTCCGAGTCGGCCGTGGTATGAGCATTTGGATACGCACAAATCCGCTGTCAAGAACACTAAAGAGACATCTCAACCTGATGGATGCATAGAGTATACCCGTCGCCTAGTCGATTCCCTTTCCTTACCATGGTCACTCGATTGGCTCTTTGACCGCGTGTTGGCCCGCCTTGGGCAACACTCTTTTGAGTAAACATGCCACCAACGACGGACAGACAAAGACAAGCCCACCTGTCTCTCTGTTTAAAGCGACCACGAAAGTAACTCGACGCAAAAGCCACTTGCACTCTTCTTTACTGTTCCCCTCCCGGTCAACATCGAGCTCTCACCATGAATACCCCAGACGAAACTGAATGGCGCCCCCTACCCCCCGAACCCGCTTCTGGCAAGGTGGAGACGTGTTGCGCACTGGAAAAGGACAAGGCCGCCGTGGTGGATAGCGCTGAGTCTCAAATGAGGCCATCTCCCGAAGTACCAGAGCTGCGCAGGAGCTCGAGGCCTAGAAGGAAGAGCCTCCGAGCGAAGGAGGCGTCGGCTGGTCCTGCTGACAGGCGATCGAGCGTCCGCGTCCCCACTGGCGTCTCGAGAGCCTCAGAAACAGAGGCGAGCGCTGTGGCTGAATCTTTGACAACCGAAATCCCGGGCGCACTCACGGAGGGGTCGAATGATTTATTAGCAAGCATTCCGGCGAGGAGCGACACCAACAGTGAAGAAGCGGCGAACGTCAGAGGACGAAAGAGGGTGAAGCTTTCTTCTGATTCAGAGGTTAATATCTCCGAGGCCAAGAGGAAGCAGAAGCAGACCATCACAAGCGCCCGTGGAGGAGGGGTCGGGCGCGGGACTGATGAAGAAGAGAAAGAAAACCTCAGCCCCACGCCACAGTCGGCCAGCGTTCCGTCGCAAGGAATTCCTGGAGTAGCATTGCCTTTCGCTCCAATCGATACGTCGACCCAACAGGTCACCAAGGAGAAAAGGAAGAAACCAAAGGTTCGTCGACTCGTACAATTTGTCGCCTCTCCACTTCAGGCTTGACTGTCTCCGCCGACTAGGGTACAATAGACGCCTGGATAGGGACATACAAGACAGAACACCGCAGCGAGTACATGGGAGAGCGCGATTGGCTCAACGGCTGCAAGTTTTCGCTGACACTCGTCACCGATAAAGTCTCTTCAGAGCTCTGGGGCCACTTCAACAACAAGAAGTTCGAATCCGTCGTCCGTGCACAGAAGAAAAACTCCTCCGTACGAGTCGGCGAGGAGATAAAATTCTACTGGTGCGCAGAGGACAAGTCCGGGTTGAAGACCCGGAAGGGAAGCGTCGAGGAAGGGACACTCACGTTCCTTGGCGATGGCGTAGTTAAGGTGAAGATGGTTTCGACGCAGTTCGGAAGGAGACACGAATTCAGGATGCGTCTGCGTAATCCTGGGTTTATTGAAGGAGATGTTGTAACTGCTTGGGCACGCTTCTGGAGGAACAACGGCGACTTTCCTGTCTCCCCCAGGCAGAGAAGCCCTAACTGGGTCTCGCCAGCGTCGAGTTTAGAAGATTAGGGCTCATCCGTTTCTCGGGAATGTTGATCCTCAGCGCAGTGGAATGCTGGGAAACAGATAGGATGACGTCTACGTAGTATTAATCCGTATTCGTTTCGTACAGTGTCGAGATTGGATTCATTACAGCTGTTCCAGAAAGTAATGGGATTCCGTCATTTTTTTTTCCGAGTTCTCTAAATAGAAATCGTGTAAATTCCTAATTGAGAGGCTTGTGACGGTGTGACCACAGCGGCTCACACTCCTCCTAAACGTCGTCTACGGTGATGGTCAACCGAAGAATCAGCGCGGACCTCAAAGAATGTGCTCTTAGGCTTTGGGAGATTGGATGGGACATACCATTGATTGTTGAGTGCTTATGTGTCTCTCGGACAAGCCTTTACTGATGGCGTGCAATCTTCTCGGAGCTCCAGACTGTCAACCGCCCTCGTTCTCCCATTATTGGTCACCTGAGGATCATTGTTTGTGCTGTTCTCACTGCTATCCAGGAGGTATATCACAATGAGGCTGACACCTATCTTGATCAGCTTATCTGGTGGCTTGCTATCAACCACAACATTGCAATCTCCCAGAGTGCACTCCACAAAAACCTGCAAGATGCTGGCCTCACGAGAAAGCTGCTGCACAAAATCGCAAAGGAACAGGATGAAGAGGTCCAGGCAGAGTTCATGGAGGTCATCCATGACCACTCTGCAGGCACTGGCGACGAATTTCTGTTCATCGACGAAATGAGCAAGAATGATCACGATACAGCTCGGCATTATGGACTTGCGCTCTCTGGACAACAAGCTGACTTCATCGACAACTTTGTTTGTGGAGATAGGTACTCTATGGCTGCTTCCATGTCAACAGAAGGTTATATTTCTACACACGTTGTCCCTGGCTCTTTCAATGCAGATGAATTCCGTGATTACATTGTTGAGCAAGTGGTATGTCGTTCCAGTGCAACTTCTATCCTTTTTTTGAGTGTCTTTTGATCTTACCACCATTCAGCTCCCTGAAACAAACCCATATCCAGGAAGATGAAGTATCCTGATCATGGACAACTGTCGAATTCACCACAATATTGAGCTTGTTGACATCATCAATGCTGCTGGTACTTTTACTCAATCCCAACGCAGCTGCACAAATAACATCTTTTTAGGTTGCCTGCTTATTTACCTCCCCCCATACTCCCCTGATCTCAACCCAATAGAGGAATCATTCAGCTTATGTGGGTGATCAGAGTCATATCATGATCATGTTCTTCAGTCTGATCCTGACACAGTAAAGGCCTTTCTTTGTTGTTATGGGTTTGACATTAGAGCCCATGAAAACCCAGAGCTTGCGTTGGTAGAGGCCTGTGGATGTATCACACAGGAAAAGGCTCTTCAATGGTTTCATCATGCAGGATACATCTGGAATCCATAATGTATTGCAACAAGAGACAGCTACTGTACAATATTTATAATTGAGTTTGAATCATCGCAAAGGTATTCTAAAGTTTGGAGACAAGCACAGTAACAGACAGAGATGAGAAGCTGAAGACTACAGATACAGAGGTCGTGCAGGGGGACGTAAGGGCAAAAACACAGTATACACATGCACTGGAAGCTGAGAATGATTTGAGAAGGAAACATGAATGCAACAAAAGCAGTAACACAACAGAAGACATGAGAATACCTTAGACCCAGCTTCCAGCCTTGACATCACGGACAAAGACCTTGTGTTTGGACAGGACATCCTCCCAAGCAAGCTTCGAAAACCCTGCATGTCCTTGCCAGTCTTCACATTCAAGCTTTTTGATACGTCGATCTCCAGGTTGATATCAGAGAACCGCCAAGCAACATTGGTCGTCCTCCTCAACCTCATAATGTTCACAAAATTCACCCAACAAGACTGGACAAGTCAGTGTTATTTTGAGAGGTGATCCTGGAGCAGAACCACCCCCCTCAGCTGGACGTGTGCTGGGCCCTGCAGTGGGAACTGGGGTTCAAGATCGGACAGCATGGAAGAGGTGGTTGTGAGGGTTCAGGCCGTGTGGTTGTGGTGGCGGATATTGCGAATATGGGTATGGAGGATAGAATGGATAAGGGGGGTAGCTGTACGGCATTTGAGGCATTTGAGGTTGAGTGGCACCAATGGGGGGCACGCCAGAGGTGACTGCAGCAGTTGATGCAGGTGTTGTTGCCGGCGCACGAAGCTTTTGGGATTCAGAAAAGTGGGCACTGACTGGTGGGGCATCAAGAGTCGCTGTAGGTGGGTCAGCCATCTAGATTACCAAGGCCATCAGCATGAAGTGAGGGCAAGATTATCAAACACTCATACCAGATGCATAGCCCAAACCTGGAGGCATAAATCATTCAACTCCCATGAATGACCATCTTTGGTGTAAACCCTTTTGGTTGGGTATAATGGATTGGATCCCACTGGATATAGCTGCCAAAGCTGTTCAATGACTCCTGTGTTAGCATGGCCAATGACAGCCTAGCATTATCATCAGTAAGTGTGACATGAGCAAATACAATGGAGACGCACCTTTTGTTCTCGGACAGACGACCCAATTGACCCATCCTGAAGCTCCTCCTCATCACTGTCTCCATGCTCTCCAGTATGTGCAGAAGAGGTAGCAGAGGTCTATGGGGTGCTGAGGAAATGGAGATGAAGGGGAGAGTAATGAAAAACTCACAGACGGAATGTTCTTCAAGGCAGCAAGATAATAGTGACCATCACATCCTTTTTTTGTTGAGTAGTGCAGCAACCTTCAAGATGAGGGCCCGATACCCCTGCACATTTGCCAGAGGTTTCTTCTTGTCGTTAGCGGGGACATTGAGTTTCCAGAAAAGCTGCAACTGGTTGATTGCGTTGATAGAAGGAACATGAGTGCCACTTGCAGCACAGGCAACAACAGACTGAAGGAATTCATTGTGGGATGTCTCAACAGTGAAGAAGAAAGGGCCACAGGTGGTCAGGGATTCCTTTTGCTTTACACCATGAGCAGGAGTAACGATGTCGACATAGACTGCAACTTCAGGAATGGCCTTCACTTTCTTTGCAGGAGGTGCAGCTAATTCTTCCCCACTTGCAACAGAAGAGATTTCATCTTCCCCGGACTCTTGTATGTTGTCGTTGTTGTCAGCCTCATTCTGGACATCAGAAAGAATAGCATCAGACGCATCCTTTGAGACAGTTCAGCAAGACTGAGAGGGACAAGCAGCAGGAGCAGCAATGTCGTTCTCTTGAGACTTCTTTGTCTTCTTTTGCTTTTTCTCCTTGGTGGCCTGGGCTTTGCGCTTTTTCTCCATGGTGGCAGGAGTGCCGACGAACCACTTTTCAACTGCCCAATCTCAGTGAATATATGCATAGCTGGACATGGCTAAAACTCATGGTGTGGATTGCCAGCAACAAGATCTTGGATGTCTTCTTTGATGCGAAGGGTGCTTTCTGGACCTTCAGAAGGCATCCCATGTGTCGACGACGAAGCAGGTGGCAGCAGGGAGATAAGGCGAGGCGACGATGCAATAGCCGTAGCCATGGGACTCAAGTGCACAGCCTGTCCATAAAAGGGAATGGCTTCAATTTCTATTTAGAGAACGCGCAAAGAAAAAAAGACCGAATCCCATTACTTTCTGGAACCGCTGTAACTGTTCCGGGTGTGTTCTTCATGAATGCGCCACATAACTCCGAAAAGGAAATGAACTGATTACGCTATCAACGTTGGATCAGGCGCAATGGGGTGGATGATGTGATAATCTAGAGAGGATGCATTCCGTAAATAAAGTAGATGGGGAAGTTAGCGACTCACTGTTTGGAGTTCCAACAAGGTCACATCCATCCCTTCCTTATCCAAAAGCTCCTGAATGCCCTTCTCTTGCTGAAGCACTTTGACAGCTACGCGAGTGTGCCCACTCGGCTTGGATGATATCTCGACATTTACTTTCCTGAGGTTTGGGAAGTGGTCGGCGAGGAGGAATTCTGCGAATATTTTCCAGGAATCGAGGTGCTCGTCTTCAATGTACTCGAGGGTAAAGAACTCGTAGTACAGATGTAAATTGAGCTCCGTAAGGGGATGGGTGGATGTTGCAAGCTTGCAGAGGAAGGAAAGGAGCCAGGGGAACGAGTCTTTGGTCTCAATGTACTCCAAGTCTTCCCTGTGGCCTTCCAAGAATAATAGATGAATAGTAAGGCTCCATAAAGACTTGAAAGCATTTGCGTCTATCCTGTCTTCAGAAGCGGCCCCGTGTTCGAAGGCTGCTCAGTGGCTCGCTAGTTGAGAAGGCGACGGCGGAAGAGTTTTGAGCTGAACTTAATGAGGCCTGAACAAGGATAGAAGATGAAGTCCTCCAGCAAGCTCGAGTGCGCATGCCTGAAGGAGGCGTTGTACGCTCTCATAGTACCTCGTGCCATCCATCCGTGCATCAACGACGAGCTTCTTCAGATGGCTGAAGTCCAATATTTTGTCGTTTGTGATAATCTCGATGAAGAAGCTGACGTCGGGGCGACATACTCTACAAGACTGAACGATTCCAGCCATATTGAGGGAGTTACCAGTGCATCTGCGCTCCTCAAGGGGTACCTCGATGGATGAATGAGCAGAACTGGCCCTTCAAAGGATATCCGTTTCAGATTTGGGCCGAGTTCGAGGAGGAAAAGGGGAAAGCAGGACATGTGTATGTAGACAACAGTTTCGAGCCGCAGAACCGCGCTGAGGCACCTCTTGAGCTCTGATGGGAGGTTCTCATATTTTGTATGGAGATCGTCGCGGTAGTTTATGAGTAGCGCTTGCACGCGTTTAAGGCGGAGGAGACACGCCCGCAATGCTTCGTCTGTGGAAAACCATTCCGTTCTGAGGCAGGGGCCGTGGTCCTTTTCCCGTTTGTCGGGCAAGCTTCCTGGCAACGGACGGTCGAGGATTTTGAGGCAGGTTACGTATTCTGCGAGATGCGGGGACGATTCGAGCAGCCTTTCAAAGTTTTCTGCACTCCCGCTGTGCAATGGCCAGTGCGCTTCATTCTTCCAAGGGCCCCGTAGAGTGATTGTGGAGAAGAGCTGTCGCTGGGAAATGGGGGTGGATTCCCGTGAGGCGAGTGCACAGGACTTGAGGGTGGGGTTGTAGCCCCGCGGGTTGCTGATGATTTTGTCTTTGAGTTCTTGAGGGATTTCAGGGAACATGATGGTAGAACGGTAAGCAGGCATGGGTGTTGCATGACTTATTGGCTACTTATATTGTATGGGCAGCTCAGGCAGGGTCATTGATGGACACAACTATTACTGAGTAGAGGGTGCACGATGGACTGTTCGGGTATGCCAGAAATTTCATAGCTAAGTACATAGGAGGACATCCAAGTAAAATCAAAGGGATGTCATGCCACTCCGGACAATTTGGAGTGTGGTTGTACATGGCTGGAAGGTCCTGCAGCTGACCAAATTCCACAGTGTGTCCACGAAGAGACAAGAAGGAAAAGAAATATCAAATACCAGTGTTTAGGGAAGGTGGCTAGGACTAGGGGGAGGTAAAGAAGGTGAGCCTACCCAAGCCGGGTCTGGCGCAATGGATTGACGTGCTTGAAATACTGTAACAAGAGTCGATAACAGAACAGGTGCTGATGGAATAGAGGCGAACCTGCTGCACGGGTAGAAACACTCGAGAGTGTCATGTCCAAGCCTTCCTTCTGACACAGTTTCGTGAAGAATGTATCTCATCGGAGAATACCGTAGGTGACATCCGAGTATCCCTCGGAGATGGGACTTTCCATCGAAAGTTCAAAGTTGACTTTGCTGAGTTTCTGGAATGGATCTGTGAGAATGAAATCGGAGAATGCCTTCCAGGCAGAGAGATAAAGGAGAGGGCCCAGGAACTGGAATGATATGTGTAGCGTGAGTTCTTTAAGAGGGTGGAGAGGCGAGGCGAGCTTGGAGAGGAAAGAAACGAGCCATGGAAACGGGTCAGATATTGCGTCTGTCAGATGAACCAAGAGGCGCTGTAACGATGTGAGGATGCTTGGATCTATTATTTCTCCAGCACCAGTGACATTCAGGTCCTTAGCTACTCATCGGGCTCTTCAAAAAGCGATATAGGTAACAGAGGAGGACATACTGAGTGCAGGGCAGGGACTGAACACAAATTCTTCCAGCAACACTGCGCAGGCCCGAATCAGGGGCCACACATTGCCATGGGACTCCAGTCTAATCAAACTCAAATCGACAACAAGCTTTGTGAGCTTGCTGAAGACTGTTGTCCCGCTCATAAAATCGTGGATGGCGAACGGACACCAAACACTGAACGATGTTAGCAGGAGAGGCGTATCATTCTGGGCAACCATTCCAGGGAAAGAATCTGGATCTGCAATATAGGTTTTTAGCAAGGCAATATGCCTGACATTTGGGCCGAATTTGAGGGCAGGTGGGGGAGGACAGAAGAATTCAACGTAGACGAGGCTTTTCAATTGCATAGCATCTTTGAGGCAAGATCGGAGTTGTTCCGGGAGGCTCTCCCAGTATGGATCGTAGTTTAGTACCAGCGCCTTCAGATGCTTGAGGTGGAGCAGACAGGATACCAATGTGCTTTCTTCAACGATCCAGGGTTTATCTCCAGCAAACGGGTTGAAGATCTCCAGACAGGCCACATATTCTGCGATATGTGGTGCCACGTTGAGCAGGCGTTCAAAGTTCCTGGAGCTCCCGCCCTCCAATGGCCAGCGAACATCAGTCTTCCGTGGACTTTGCAGGATGATTTTGGAGAATAGGTGCCGCTGGCAAGGGGGAGTAAAAGTACGTGATATGAGCGAGCAAGATTTTAATGTGGCTCTGTCGTTCCAGAGGGTGTCTACGATCTGTTCTTTGAGTTCTTGAGGGAATGACGGTGTCATGGCGGTCGCAGTCAAAGGCTGGGCGTGATGGAAGGTGAACATATGTCACAATTCATCACTAATTCTCGAGTCACAAGACCTTTCCGACGGAACTCACAAACACTTCCCAACGTCCGTAAGAAAATTTGTGCATCTCGCAATGCTGCACTTGCTCCAATTCCCAGATCTCCTGATGCAAATCAAGCAGAATTGCAGGTTATTGTGCTATCCCGACTTGTCTTGCGGTAGATTGCCTTGGTAGTACTTAAGGTACTGATCATACTTTTGACTGAGTTCATAGCATACAGCACAAAGAACCAGCATGACGAAGGTTCAAGGAATGGAGGACGTATTTTAAATTTATACAGAGAGGTGTAACAAAATACAGCGGGAGAATGGAACAAATTCACAGGATAGATGAAACGGATACCAAGAAGAGGAAATGGGTACACGAGAGGATGAATGTAGAACATTGTATCCTGAGTCATTCAATAAAAGCAGATTTCAAGATATAAACAAACCGTGAAACAAATTTCTCAACACATCGGGCACTCAATTGTCGTCCGTGTTCGAGTCAGCATCGGACGACTCTCAAAGAATGAATGGCTTCGGGGCCCAGTCTGGGTTTGGGGTGAAGATATGGAAG